CCCCTGTCCTCTTTGTAAAGAAGAAGGACAGTTCACTCTGCCTCTGTGTAGACTATTGAGGACTCAATAAAATCACAAAAGAAGATCACTATCTGCTGCCGCTCATCTCCAACCTACTTGACTCCCCAAGCTGTGCTAAAGTCTATACCAAGATCAACCTCCACCATGCCTATCATCTGGTCCGCATTGCAGATGGAGATGAATGGAAAATGGCTTTCTGCACTCGTTATGGTTCTTACAAGTGGTGAGTAATGCCATTCAGTCTGACTAACATGCCTGCAGCTTTCCAGTGATTCATTAATAGCATCTTTGCAGACATGCTCAATGTCTGCATCATGGTATACCTTGATGACATCCTAGTTTATTCACAGGATGTGGAGTTGCACTGCAAACATGTAAAAGAGGTACTCTGCCACCTTCAAAAGCATGGTCTTTATGCCAAGCTGGAGAAGTGCGAGTTTCACTCCAACTCCATCGAGTACCTTGGTTATGTTCTTTCTCCCTCCAGTCTCACCATGTCCACTGAGAAGGTTCAGGCAGTCCACAACTGGCCTGAGCCACAGAAGGTGCAAGACATCCAGTCTTTCCTTGACTTTGCAAACTTCTACAGATGATTCATTAACAACTACTCCGACATCATCATTCTGCTCACTTGCCTCATGCGAAAGGGTGCTCCTTGGAACTTTTCCAAGGAGTGTCACTCCACCTTCCTCCACCTGAAGGATGCCTTCAGCTCTGCTCCTGTCCTCACACACTGGGTTCCTGACGCTCTGCTTACAGTTGAAACCGACACCTCTGACTATGCCATTGCTGGTGTTTTGTCAATCACCTGCTCTGATGGTGAACTCCACCCAGTTGCTTTCTACTCCTGCACCATGGTCATGCCAGAACTCAACTATGATACCAATGACAAGGAGCTGTTGGCTATCTTTGAGGCTTTCTGCCATTAGCGGCATTACCTGTAAGGTTCTGCCTTACCTGTTGACGTGGTGACAGACTACAAAAACCTTGAGTATTTCTCCACCTCTAAGGTCCTCACTCATTGACAGGCCCACTGGTCAGAGTACCTTTCACAGTTTAACCTTTCCATCTGCTTCTGACCTGGCCACCTGGGAGCCAAACCTGATGCACTCACATGATGATGGGACATCTACCCAAAAGGGGGGGATAGGGACTATGCACAGGTAAATCCTCACAATCTCCACCCTATGTTTTACACAGGAGCAACTTGTGTTGTCCCTCTGTACCACTACCCTCATGGCACCTGTGCTCTGCACTGCCATGGTCTTCGATGTTGAGTGCTTGCATTCTGACATCACCTCCACCCTACCATCTGACCCTGTCTCTGCCAGCCATCTTCCAACTCTGACTAAGCCTCAGTGGTCCCTGGACTCCGATGGTCTACTCCACCTTGATGGTTGCATCTTTGTCCCTGACATTGATGACCTCCACCTTTGAGTGCTTCAGTTCAAGCATGACCATCCTCTAGCAGGCCATTTTGGGCAAAACCACACCCTAGAACTTGTCCACAGGGACTATGTGTGGCCTAACCTCCACTCTGATGTGAAAGAATATGTCAGGTCCTGCACCACCTGTGGACAGAGCAAAACTCCATGTCACCACCCTTATGGTCTACTGAAGCAACTCCCTGTCCCAGAGAGACCTTGGAACTCCATCTCCATGGACTTCATTGAACACCTCCCCAACTCTGATGGCTACTCTGCCATACTTGTGGTAGTGGACTGCCTCTCAAAGCAAGCAGTGTTCATCCCCACCCATGACTCCATCACCTCTGCCAAACTCACTAAGCTCTTCCTTACCCATGTCTTCTCCAAGCACAGAGTGCCAGCTAATGTCACCTCTGACAGAGGTCCTGAGTTCATCTCACACTTCTTCCACTCTCTAGGAGAGGCCCTTGATATGCATCTTCACTTCACTTTAGGTTACCACCCAGAAGGCAATGGCCAGACCGAGCAAATGAACCAGACCCTTGAGCAGTACCTTTGTGTCTACTGCAACTACCAACAAGACAACTGGGCTGAGCTGTTACCTCTAGCAGAGTTTGCTTTCAACAATGCACCAAGTGTGGCAACTGGGGCTTCTCCCTTCTTCACTAACAAAGGATACCACCCAAACCTGTCTGTGGTCCCTGACCAAGACTTCACCTCTCCAAGGGCTCATGACTATGTCATTGAGCTCTCTGCCCTTCATGACTTCCTCCACTCTGAAATGTCTGCTGCTCAGCAGTGCTATCAGGGTCCAGTGGATGCCAGATGCATACCTCCACCTGGGTTTAAGGTTGGAGAGCAAGCCTACATCAAAGCCAAGTACTTCCACTCCACTCATCCTTCAGAAAAACTCTCCAAAAAGTACCTAGGTCCATTCACCATCTTGGCCAGGCCAGGTATGCACTCTGTCACCCTTAAGCTCCCTGATTCTATGCACTTGGTACATCTGTCTTCCATGTCTCACAACTGGAAGCTGCAGTGGCTAACCCTTTCCCAAACCAACAACAACCTCTGCCTCCACCAGTGGATGTTGATGGTGACCTTGAGTATGAGGTATTGGAGATACTTGACTCTAAGGTGGACCACCATCACTGCCACTGTCAACTCCTGTATCTAGTCTGCTGGGCTGGTTATGAGAACACTGATGAAGAAACCTCTTGGTTGCTTGCAACTGAACTAGGTCACACTTCCAACATAGTCTCTGCTTTCCACAAACGATATCTGCACAAACCTGGCCCATGTCAACCTCCACCATAGTACTCTGCCTGTACAACCTTCCTCCATGGGCCAGCTCTGCCCCTTACTGAACTACCTTAAGTACTTTAGAGTTTTCTCCACTTATCTGTTTCACTTCTCAGAATCACAAACAAGGTTACAAGTCTATTTCATAGTAGTACAAAAACATACAAACTAAAATAAAATAAAAAATAAAATAAAAAAGAAAACTACCCTACTCTTCCATTGCTTGTTCTCCACCACCTCCCTGCTCTCCTCTGACTTCCTCCTCCTCCTCATTGTCCCCCTCCATGCCCTCATCCACTTCCTTGTTCCTGTCTTCTGCCACCTCTGACTGAGGCCTTTTCCATCCTCCTCCTGCATGCTTGAACTCAGCCATCCTGGCCTTGTGCACATCCTCCCTCCTCCTCATCTCTGCCCATTCTGCCCACTCGCAGTACAGCCCCCACTCATGGGCTGTCCACTCTGCAGCCTCCACCATCTGCTCTGCTGCCCTTGCCATCCTCTTGAAGGCAGTCGCAGCCTTCTTGTGTGCCTCTGCATACCTCTCCATGGCCTGCAGCTGCTGCTCCCACTCCTGCTCCACCCACCAGGAGGAGGCCCCCGCTCCTGAGGGTTCCTTGCACAGTGTCTCTGGCTCCTCCTCATCTTCTCCACCTACCTCCCACTCATCATCCACCTCTTCTGTCTCTGTTGCTCTCTCCTTCCCCTTCCCTCACAGCTTCTTCTTCTTCTCCCCTCAGGAACTCCCTGTTCCCACTCTCTTCCATGATGGTCCCACCACCACATCCTCCCTCATCCAGCTACACACCTTTTTCTTCTTGTGGCAGGGCATGCAGGCCCTGGTCTTGCCTTGTCCTGGTTCACACTGTCCTGCCATCAGACTCGCTACACAGCAAGTGCAGGGGGGCCACCTGGTCATGGTGACCACCACAGAGGTCCCTGGGACCCTCTGGGCAGTGTTGATGTCATACACCATGCCACATAGTCTAAGAAAAATGAGGCTGCAAGTCAGTTCCGCCTGACTCATGGTACTCCACCACTCACCTTTGTGTGGCCTCATCCCATCTGGCCTGGGCCCTCTGCCTCTGTCTTTCTGCCTCCTCCTCTGCTGCCTTCTTCCTTCGAGCCTCCTCTTCCTCCTCTGCTCTCTTCCTCCACTCTGCCTCCAGTCTCTCTTCTTCTGCCTTCCACCTCTTGGCCTCCTCATGCTTGGCCTTGCACTCTTTCTCCCTCCACTTGGCCTCCTCTCATTGGCACACCTTCTCCATGGACTTCTCTCACTCAGTGTTGGTGGAGTTGTCAGTCAGGACAACCAGCTCTTCATCCACAACTTGGGAGTAGTCACAGACATGGCCAGGGGTTGGTTGGGGGTTTTGCTCTGGTGCTGGGAAGGCATGATGATGGGAGGAAAGGACAAAGGTTCAGTATCCTGACACGTGTCTTTTAAGTGGTACTTTGAACTCTGACAGAGCTCCACTGCAGCTAAAGCCATTATCCTCGAGGCATCAAAATGGTTTCAAATGATCAACTCGTGTTGATCCTGTCCCATACATGCAGCCTTCAGGGGTTCAGGCCCTAAGGGGGGGGGCACTGTCATAACCACACATTCACTCTAGGTCCTTACTCACTCTGCACCCTCTTCCACTGGTCATTCACTCACTCTGCACCAACTCCACCCAACTTCTGTCAGTTATGAACCATCTCTGCTCTGACTGCTGTCAGACTTGTACTGCTCTCCTACTGGACCAAATGGACCATTCTCTGAGGAGTCATGTGACTACCTTTGGACTCCTCCTTGACAGCTCACAGTCAGGTACTCCACAGCACATGCACTGTATGGTCCAGTGCCTGGACTGTTTCCTTTTCTGGATGTTCTATGTTACCTGTTTGTATGTCCTCCATCTACCCTTCATTGATTGTCTAGGAAGTTTTACTACCCAATGCCCTCACTTCACTCTGCCCTTACCTCAGCAGATTTCATTCCTGCTCACACTCTGCCAGTTGGAGTTCTGCTCTTTCCATCAGACTTGCTTCTGAACCTCTCCCTGGACCTCATCCAGTGTCAGAGTTGGTCAGAGTAGGCCCAGACTTGACAAGCTGCAGCCACCAGTGGATAGAACTTTGGCACCCCTCCAGGTTGTGAGGCAGTAGAAATACCAAAAGACACCTGCCCCCAAATGCAAAAAGAATCCTGGAAGGATATATGTCAAGGGAAAGGGTAAAGCACAGGAAGAGGGAGTGGTGGATGATAGCATGGATGACAGCATGGATGACAGTTTGGATGATCATGGCAAGGCTGAGGCAAGTGATGTTGGAACAGATGGTCCCTCCACTAAAAAGGTGTGCCATATGTGATTTTCATGCATGACAGATCAGCACTAATGTGATTCTGGTCTTCAGGTATCTGGTGGGAGGCAAAACCATGCCAAGACACCATTCCCTTCTCATTCCCACTCAAATCCCCCACCAGCTGATGGTTCCCATATTGAGCAGCTCTCTGCACCTCCAGCCCATGCAAAGACCCTGGTGCATCATCCATGAAATAAAGCACTAACTGATGATAATGGGAGGGAAAGCAATGGCCATGATTCTAATGATGAAGCTGATGAAGACACTTATTTGCCCACCCTATCCAATTCAAAGAAATCAGCAACATCCCTGAATAGTGAGCTTCCTGCTGTAACTTGTATTCACAGCAAACCCTGATCTGCACTCAGGGAGTGAGTACACAACTGAACTACAGGACCACTCAGAATATGCAGATGAAGATGGATTGGAGAGCATTCTTTTCACTGACCACCCAACTGAGGAGGGGTCAACAAGCAGAAAAAAAGGTGGAAAGCTGAAATCTGCCCTGAAGTGCACACACAAGGCAAGTTCAGTCATGTTGAATCAGCTGTTATGGCTAACAAGTTTGCACTGTATATTAAGCAGGCTCTGTCAGAATCAAGTGAGCCAGACATGAATCGATGTCGACCTGGGGCCAAATACTTGTCCAAGTCCAATCATAATGGATCTGTGACCACCAATGCAGCATCTGTGAACATGAAACAAGGTGTCCCTGGGAGCACCTGGAAGTCACCTCATGTCAGAAAGGTCCCCTGCAAGGCCAGATGCAGATGTTCTATCTCCTGATGCACAGAGATTGCACAAGCAAACAGGCAACAATCAGAAGCAGAAGTAGTTGTCAAATCCCTCAAACAGTCAGAGCAGAAACCTTTTTTGGAACTCATGTATGGTCTATAGAGGGCTTAGCCTAGTGTGACACATTAGAATACAAGTGTATGGCATGTACAGTAGCTCATGACACCATGGTGGTTGTGAGAGGCATCTTTGATATCAGAGAGAGGGATAGTTAAGCAGGACAGTTGAGCAGGACAATTGAGCAGAGAGCTGAGTGGGACAGGTCTACATATTGGCCATGTGGAAGCGACTGGTAGCTATCTATATAGGGAGATATTGCTGCTCATCTCCCATGTATTGCTGTTACCCAAAATTTGGCTCCATCTTCCAACCTTGCTGAACCAAATATGGCTCTGTCTGCCATTGTCCAACCTTGCTTCCCACAGTGTGAATGATATTCATGCCATTGTTCCTACAAGTTTAAATCTTGATTGATCATTGACCTATCAGTGAACCCATCATCATCAAATATGTCCACTGAACAGTCCCACCAAGTTTGTTTCTGTCATCAAGGTGAGGTAGTCATCATTGTTGGATCCAGCAACCTAAGCCATCCACAGCTAATGTAAGACCAATCAAGCCAAGGCGATCTAGCTCCCACATGAAGCAGTCCAAAAATCTGGAGGAGATGCTAGTACAATTGCATGAGTTGCAAGAGCCAACCCCTCCACCAATTGTCTCAAGTGGAAGGGTGGATATGGCAGGGTCAAACATGGATATTGCAGCCAGTGAGTGAACATGATTTCTCTCCAAGCTCAACAACAAATGTTCTTTCACTATAGATTCATGCAAAAGCTTGCTGGATCAGTTCCTGCAGGAAAGGGAGCCAACTGCTCCCCCAGCAGATGGTATGAATGTGGATCTACTCAAGCAATTGCTGAATGCATGGGAACCATTGGCACCACCAGTCACACATGAGAAATTAAACAGGATGGATGGGTCTTCAACACCTGCACAAGATATTACTATGCAGGTTGATTTTCTGGAAGACTTGCAGAATGTGCAGGAACTGTCTCCTCTGCCCATCACCTGTGAATCATCAAATCCAAGGGACCAATCTTGTCAACCCAATTCTCCAACTAACCTGCTTGCTCAATTGCAGGATATGAGGGAACCAACACCTCCCCCACTCATTTCAAATGTACCTGTCAATTCTTCTGACTTGGCAGTGGATAAGGACAATGGCACAAACCATTTGACTTTTGGCATGCCCAAACAATCAGAGATGAGGGATCTTTTCAAAGAAATATGCAATGGTGAGCATTTATTTGGTTCTATTCATGTGATCGGTGATATCCATTGATTATGTAGGTGAACTTCCATCTACACAGCAATCTCTTCAAATGGAACAATGGGGATTGGCACCTGTTCCACATTGTGATCAAGGTATGGGCATGAGCTTAATCTGATACACCATTGACATTGATAATTTTAGTCCTGCACACCTTACATGCCACAGTATCTCACTACCACAGACACACCACTCCCAGTGACACACTGTTCAATCCAACCTCAATAGGCACCTTGTGTGTGCTGCAAATGCCATTGCAAGAGCATTGGGCACAGCTGAAAGGGACCAGTATGGTGCAGCCTCTTAGGGCCTTCAACTTGTCAATATGCTCAATTTGATGGAAGTTGTTCATTATCTGCATTCTGCCTTTGAAAATTGTCCCAAGCCATTCATTGCCAGCCAATCACACCCATCTTGCCAGTCTGTGGTAGAGATGGGTATCCTCTACATGGCATGCCAGATTGAGGTGGCCTCTGTACATCTGAAGCAGACTGCCAATATTGCAGGATGGCCCATGCATTGGTTTGCAAACCTAGCAATGGACTTGGTAGGTTTTACATCAATTTTTCACAATGTGGGACTGATATATAATTCCTTCAGAATCAGCTTAATAGCTTGATTCCAGTGACAGTGTTGCATGCCAGTTATACTCCTCCCCTCCCAGCATGCTACCATGCAGTACCTCAGACACCAAGATGATGAGGTTAGCTTCCATGATCAAATGCAGCTAATTCCCCTTAGCACATTTTGCATAATTGATGATATCAGCACCATCATCCTGCATTGGACCCCACACACAGCTGATCCCAATTCTGGCTTTGCATTCCCTTGGTGGCTATATCATTCTGAGTAATACACAGCAGATTCCCAAAGATTGCAAGGAAAGGGATTGTTTTCTGCAGCCTGGGATTTTTTTAAGGTATGCCACTTATTCTCGTTGCTGCAAATAGTTGATGATGGCCCAGGGCTTATGGCCATTGCCTGAGGTGCCAATTGCAGACCATCTTGATGGCCATATCAAGGAGCAGGTAAACTACTGCATTGAAAATATTTGGAAATATGCTAATGTTATCAACAGTCAGGGTTGACAAATTGACCATTTCTATGCTAGGTGGTGGGCATTGCATGGGTTGTTGGGCATGCTGCTTCAATAGTTTACATGTTTTTGACTGTGGAGTTGGTTGTATATACATCACTGTGAATGTCAATCATGTATGAGATACCACCCACTCACATGATGTCTGAACCCCCACCCATCTGCATGATGGCCTGAGTAGGTTTACTTTTGTTGCAGTTTATGATGCACACCCTTTAGCTCTGAGTACCTGCCCAATCTATGATGTCAAAGCACCTGCCCATTTGCAAAATCCTGGCAACACCACCCATCCAAAGTTCAAGAGCCAGCATATCCTAATAAAATATGAGATCCACATTGCCTACTAAGTCTTACATTAAATTTTGCAGCTTCAAATCAACAGTTCTCCAGTTGCAACTGGTCTAGGTAGTAGGTTGTCCATCCATGGTGATTGACACATGGGAATGTGCACCAACTGATGTACATTGGCATGCATGTAGTATGCCAGGCATGCTCTGTCACTATCTACAGCTCCCACCCCATGCTCCAATGCTGAACCTGAAAATGCAATGATCATCCCTGGGTTGTAGCACAGCCACAGATTCAACATTGGAATGACAAAGTCCAAGGGCAGGTAGTCACCCATGGTTACCAGCATGTCATACCATGGATCCTGTCCATTGATATCCCTGTGGTAACAAGTTGCCCAATTCACCATCATGGACATGCTGCTATGTGTGGAGCTCCATATCAGCAGTATGGAGCTTATATCTGAATCTGCCTGCTGTTCTGCCTGTTTGCCAAGGAAGATCAATGCTTCCCTGCCATCTGCATACATTTGTGGATGGATGACATGCAGGATCACAGATAACAGGGCATTGGTGTCAGATATTTGGTTGACCCATTCCCTTGTAGAAGTGTTTTCTGTCCTGGATTTGAGCAGCTGTGAGGCTTCTGGGAAGCCATTTTGGGGCTTCAAGACAGATGAGCACTTTATTCACAATGCAAGAAATGATCACCCACCCCATGACCCTGTTGAAACCATGCAGGTGACAGGTTGATGGCACCTTTCAACTCAGCATTATTGTGGAAATATGACTTGTCCATCCACCATGCCTGTGGGGAAGCCTTTATGCTCTCCTGCAGTGGTTCCCTCAGAAGATGAAGGTGGTTCCATATGTCAGCCTGCCATTCCATTAACTCAGTAGAATATGAGATTCTGCATTTCCTTACCCTTCTTTTTGGGCTGAGAGCATCTGGCAAATACCATATGCAGATGGTGTTTGAGTCAGTCACCAGAATGGATGGCTCAGTCACTTCTGCATATCTCTCAGCAGCTTCTGCATTGCAGGTTTTTCCACCCCAATTTTTCCTGACATTGACTGCAGAAAGATGAAAACTTCCATTGCACCATTATGATGGACTTACTTGGGCAACAATAGGCCTGTGAGATTACTAATGATATGTGATCCACTTCACATAACACTGGAAACAGAATCAATATATCTGGAAGGGCCTTTCATGTATGACACAATGCAGTCTGTTAGTTCCATTCACCATCTGTGGGGGGTTTTAGATGTGTCTTGCATAGTATTCATGCTTGAGGTGGATGAGGTCAGAGTTGTATAGCAGGCAAGCCACTTTTAGCTTGTTGGAAAATTACAGCATGTCAGGATGCTTGCCTCAATATTTTACTGTGATCCAATCAATATGTTGTGACACTATATGTGCTATTGGTGTTGGGCCTGTCTCATGTTGTGACAGGGGTGGATCTTAGTAGATGGACCCATCCTTGTTGTATGGCAATATAAAAGATATTACTGAAGGGCCTGTCCATACACATTATGACCATATAAATAATACTGCTGAAGGGCCCATCCTTATGTTGTGACCACATAAATGATACTGCTGAAGGGCCCTTCCATATGTTGTGATGCTATAAATGATATTACTGATGGGCCTGTCTTAATGCTGTGACTGGGATGCATCTTACTAGAGGGGCCTGTCTATGTGTTGTGACACTGTAAATGATATTACTGATGGGCCCATCTTTATGTTGTGACAGGCATACATGTTACTATTGACAGGCCTGTCCATGTGTTGTGACCATGTGATTGATATTACTGACAGGCCTGTCTATGTGTTGTGACACTGTAAATGATATTACTGACAGGCCCATCTTTATGTTGTGACAGGCATACATGTTGCTATTGATGGGCCCACCCATGTGTTGTGACCATGTAATTGATATTGCTGAAAGGCCCATCTTTATGTTGTGATGTGGGTGCATCTTACTAGATGGGCCTGTCTATGTGTTGTGACACTGCATAATGAAATTGCACACACTGAAGGGCCAGAAGTATAAAGCGATGGCTCATTACCAGACAAAGATGAAGGATGGTCAGTGAGTACACTGGGTACCAGACCAGCTTGGACAGATGAAGTGGAGGAGGCCTGTAGAGAAATGATGAGCACAACATGAGGCTTAAAGACAGGGAAAACTCACAATATTAGAATTACTCATAGAAGGCAAAGCATTGCAATGCCTCTGAGGCTTTGGATGGCAAACAGCCATCTCAGATTGTTCTGGAAACTGTGACACAAAGCCAACAGCAGTACACCTGGGACTCAAAGTCAACAGGTGGTGGACAGCACAACATGAAGTCAGCAGGGGGTGTCAGTCCAAGGAGATTTTGACCAGATGACAAACCTCTGGAAGGGAAAAACTATGCAGAAAATTCATCAGATCACCACATACAGCCAAGTAGGATCCTACTTACCAGAGCACAAGTCTTGAGCAGTTAAAAACAAAAGTTGCTATCAATATCACAGTGAGCAGGAACCCCATCATCAGGATGTCATACATACTGAGCAGAATGAGTCTCAAAGAATTAAATGGTGCAGACCTTGATGCAGATAAAGTGTCAATAACAGTGAAGGGGGATGGGAACATTCCTTGCCTGGCAGTGGGAGTGTCAGTGAATAACATGTTGCTATCAACAAAAAAAAAGCAGTGAGCACAAAGCATGAGATTAAGGTTCAGTCACAGGCAACATTCTGAATCATTGAATTGATTCAGCCTGCTTTATGACATGGTACATACTTGTACTAAACAAATTTGGACAGAAAAAAAAAGTATATGCAGCAGAGGATGTCAGACAAAGGTAAAAGTGTGGGGGAGGGATGGCTGATGCCCAAGATAATCAAATGCAGTTTGGATGTAGAATTTGCAAGCCAAGATGAAGGCTTCATATGCTGCTTGGTTGCCAGAGCCATCCAGCTTGATTGGGTACTTCAAACAAAAGGGCACTCCTAGCCATGCAGATAGCAACTGACAGAACTTGTTCAGATAGGGCAATGCCACCTCCATCTCACTAGCAGTCAACCCCAAATCACATGGCTCCTGAGGAAGGGGTGCTGACCAACTTGAAAGACCACATCCACCAGGGAAGATAGACCAAAGAAGTGATTGGCATGTATACTTATCTAGGCTATCAGGCCAAAGCTGTGGGACAAGGGCCTGATCAAGTGCATGGAGTTCATAGCAGAAGTTGAGTTTGTAGAGTTCCCATAGAAGGGAACATTTGAAATGAAGGGGTGGGTCTGAAAAGCTCAAAGCCTGGACCTGCACAAGATAAGTATGAAGAACAGATCTAAATAGGATGAAATACTAACCTGCATTCCCCTCCACTCAATCTCTTCTGACATACAAACAGGATCATCATGAGCTGCTTGAATGATGTCCCCCAAAATCACCTGAACCACTGTGAGTCAAAGATGTACCTTGTTGAAACATAAAGATGGGCCCATCACTAATATCATTTAATAGAGTCACAACATATGGATGGGCCTGTCCACAGTAAGATGTACCTCTGAACAAACATAAAGACAGGCCTGTCAGTAATCTCATGTATAGCATCACAACATATGGACAGGCCCTTCAGTAGTATTATTTATATTGTCACAAGCATATGGGCAGGCCCAGCCCCAGTAAGATGTACCCTGTTGAAACATAAAGATGGGCCCATCAGTAATGCTGTTTAATAGCATCACAACATAAGGACAGGCCCTTCAGCAGTATTGTTTATATTGTCACAACATATGGATGGGCCCATCAGTAATATCATCTAATAGCATCACAACATAAGGACAGGCCCTTCAGTAGTATCATGTATATCATCACAACAAATGGACAGGCCCATCTAGCAAGATGCACCCCTGTCGCAACATAAGGATGAGTCTGTGTATGGTATTCTTAGGCAGCAGAAAGGGAGCTCCAAGCTATCTACATAAGGATGGTCTGTGTAAGCCATTCTCAGGGAGATCAAAGGGATCTACATAAGGACAGGCCCATCCATGGTATTCTCAGGCAGCAGATATGGGAAAACAAAAACCAGTGTTACAACATAAGACAGGCCAATCCATCCATCACAGGATTACAAACCCTTGGCACTGCATAAGACAGGCCAATCTGTCATATCATAGATAGCTCACCACAAATGGACAGGCCTATCCATAATTGGGTTATCCCCCTGTCACAATAGAAGATGGGCCCAGGAAGACAGGAAATGAAGAAAGTGGAACCTCATGCACTATAGAGTATCTGAATTTCCCACTATAAATTGTGTTTCATGTTGGACAATTTGCCTATTTAGTTGGAACCTCAGGCACTGGTCTATGTAGCTGCGAGCCAGGCTCCACCATTGGAGCAGATGGGAAACATGCAAAACAAACAGCAATGCTATTCCAGAACAATGCATCATATTTTTATCTGAGCCTCTGCTTCATATATGCATTCAGGATTATTGACTTGTACTGGTATTGCCATCATGCCATGGGAATCATTCATAGGCAGGATAAAAAATGTGACATCCATGTATCTCATCATCCATCTTTAACCTCTGACTCTTCCACTCTCCAATCACCATCACCACTCTCACTGTCAAACTACTCCATCATCTCATCATCAGAAACATGTCATTGTCATCATCTTGCAAGCTCTTCAAGAAATCACCTGAGCTCAATGCTGCAGCCAACCACATCCTTCAAATTTACTTCAAGGATATCATGGAAAGCAGCAAGCTGGGAAAGCCAGACAAGATTGCGAAGTGGAGAGGTGCCATCAA